GGTTTAGAGTTTAGGGTTTATGGTGGACTTCTGAAGCCCGTAATATAGGGGGTGGGGCTTTCATCAGGTTCCTTTATGGGTTCTTTAGGGGACCGATGAGTGCGGAAGCATAGGTGCCCTAAGTGGGTTTGGGGTATCTTGCACGATGCTTCAAATCAGGATTATAGGTCTGTTTGATTGCTAATGTTTCTCACCCCTATGTTACCCAGACACTTTAAAAGGATTCAAAAAATCAACGGCTCATACCATCTTGGGGTTTGGATAAGGCCCTTTCGAGGCATCCGGAAAGCTTCTGAAGGATCCAACAGCTGGACAGGAATATTCCTTGATCGTTTCGAAGCGGAGGAAAGCCGCTCATTTCAGAGCCTTGATATAGAGAACAGGGCTTGCGGTCATGCTATATATTCTAACCAGGAAGCGTAAGGCATACAATTATTCAGGGTTCCACAGCCTCTGGGATTTGGGGTGCTTACTGCGCGAGAGGAGAGAGAAACTCACCCCTAAACCCTAAACCCTTAAACCCTAAACCCTAAACCCCTAATCGCAGACGACAGAGAAGCCTCGGGCCTGAGGTTGAAATCATGCCTGGGCGACTCGGGCTGCAGCCATGGCACCTGCACGATATAGGGACCTTATAGTGAGTTGGAAAAGGGCTTTTAGCGACTCCCAACCCATGGCAGTAGACACAATCCTCACCTGCATGATATAGGGACCTTTGAGTGGATTTGAAAATAGCTTTTAGCGAGGATATTATATTACAGCTCTATAACAAAGACTCCTAACCAATGGCGGTAGACACAATCCTACACCCTAAACCGCGGTGATAGCCAGGAAGCGGAAGGCACACAGTTTGCAATTATTCAGACAGTTTGCAATTATTCAGGATTCCACAGCTTGTGCTTCATCACTACTGAGTATTCAGGCTTCTACACTATACCCTAAACCCTAAACCTTAAACCGTTATAGTACCCTTGTAGTACCCCTCATCGTTTGCTTCAAGAACCATAAAGGAACCATCTTTGGCACCCTAAAACCTAACCCTAAACCCTATAAGCCCTAAACCCTATAAACCCTAAACCCTATAGACCCTAAACCCTATAAACCCTAAACTCTAACCCCTAAACCCTAAACACTGAACCCTAAACCCTCTTCATTTTGCCGCTGGCCCCTTAACAGGGCAGCAGCTGATGATGGCGGAGAGCACCATCGGCGGTGTTGTGAGTCTAAGGGCTTTAGGAGGGACCCTTAATAGGGACCCTTGTAGGTTATTGGGGTTAATATGGAGACTACCTGGCTATATAAGGGGTATATAAAGACTATACCACGGTTATTTCAGGTAGTGGGATTAAGGGTCCCTATTCGGGGTCCCTCCTAAAGTCCTTAGAGTGAGGAAGTTCATTGCGAACCATGCCTCGACTCACACATCGATGCCGGGAGCAAACATCCCCTCCGTGACGCCAGTGCTTCACCCGGCAGCACTGTGGCGAACAACCCTAAATCCTCAACCCTAAAAGCCCAAAACCCAAAGCCCTAAACCCTAAAAGCCCAAAGCCCTATGAAGTAAGTACCCTCATTGCCTTTCAACGGACGCCCTACCTTGATCTCGACCCTGACCGCACGTCCCGACGATGATGCCCCTGAACGTGGCAACAAGCACTGTAGGGTAGTACGACTCGTCGTAGTAGTAGTAGTAGTAGTAGTAGTAGTAGTAGTGGTAGTGGTAGTCGTAGTCGTAGTCGTAGTAGTAGTAGTAGTAGTAGTAGTAGCAGCAGTAAACAGTAGTAACAGTAGTTGTTGTGGCAGTTGTAGGAGAGGCGGTAGTAGTAGCAGTAGTA